ATTAGTAATCCCTCTCTCCAGAGTCTAGCTCAATAGATTAGAGTGCACCCTAAGAATCCGTACCTAACCTCAAGCTCAAAGTGCAACTTCACATTGAGCTGAGGTTTCCTCAAAGGTATGGACACTCCTAGAAGGATAGTGACAATATGTAATTTTCACAACACAGCACAAATTTGTGGGCTTTTTCCCCCCTAAAACAAACCCACATTTATTATTTCATTTTATCTTTACAACAGTTCTAGGCAGAAGGTTGGTAATTAGAACAGGAATTGTCAATCCCATTTTACAGAGCAAAAGCAAGGCACAAAAATCAAGAAACTCCTCTGAGCACACAAGTTAGAAGAACCAGAACCACCAAGTTTCCTAACTGCTAATCTTGGTAAGCAATATAGACAAACAGCAATACAGGACACAATTGAACCTGGCTTCTGCAGACTGGTACCATAAAAATAGAACCATGCCCAGGAACAGAAAAGACAACACAAGATATGGTTCACTGCAACAAACATTTACCAAGTACTGATTATGCGTTAATCTCTTGCTAATCTCTAGAGACTGTTAAAGATATTCATAGAGCATAGGAGAAAAATAAAAATAAAATCTGAAACCACATTCTTGAAAAGGTAGTGAGTTTTCTGTATATTTTGTCCTATATAGATAAAATAAAAGCAAATACACTGAGGAATGGGTGGCAGGGGTAAACAGAGTTGGGTAGAAGAGAAGTCACTGCAGGACTTCACATCTGGACTTGGGGGCGTGGCTATCACCAGTCAGTCAAGAATGGGAAGCAAGGAAGAGTACACAATAGAGCCCTCCTAGGGCTCAACAGCACAAAGAGCTGCTGTTATCCATGTTGGGTGTGTGTTTACCAAAAATATCAGGGCTGCTAGAACTCCAGAACTTACAAGGGCATGCTTTTGTGTAGTCTAAACTACGCTGACTGCATAAGAACTCAAAGCAGAGAGCATAACTTCATGATCCATTTGTAGCTAAAAGATAACCTGATTGGAGATCATCAATTCTCTGATTTTTCTCCAAGTTTTGAGAAGCATTCTTCATAAAAAGTCCATCAAATTGTGATCACAATCGTACTATATAATTATAAAACACCTCTTAAAGGAAAAGAGAAGATTGTATTTTCATTTAAATAGGATTTACATATGATATTATTAATTTTCATAGCAACTTTTCTAATATTTAAAATAATAATAGCTAATAGACATTACCTCAAACTGAAAGTACAAAAAATCAACAATTAATGTGAAAAAAGCCTATTGAAAAATTTAATATACTCATTAGTGTTGTAACAGACCTCCCTATATGTTCATTTTATAGTCTAGCTCAACAATCACTGAAACAATCAAGTTTCCACAACTCTTCTTAGAAAACTATAGCAACACTATTAAGAAAACGATTCCTCACTGTGCACAAAACCAAAGAAATGCAAATCAAGGCAAATTAGTAACGATTTAACTTTCAAATTATAAAAAATGTGGAGGTTCCCTAATAAAAATAAGGTACCATTTATATGTTTTCACATGTTAATTGCTTTTTATCTTAACTATGTAGAAGGCAATAACTATAAAACCTATTGTACAGATTATAAAGCTGAAATTCTAAAAAAATAAAGTTACTTGCCCAATATTGCCAATAAGTGATAGAGCTAGGTTTGAACTCAAAACCTCCAAATTTATAACCACCACCACCACCCCCATTTGCAACTATACTCTCCTACCTCTCAGGGAAACAATCCTAAAGATGTTGAGAAGAAGAAAAAAAGACAAAGGAAGAGAAAAAGGAAAAGAGAAGGAGGAGGAGAAATAAAAAGTTACATTCATAAGGATAATCATTATTTTAATTACTGGAAAATCCCAAATAGGAAGTGTTAAGTTACAGGACCTCCATTGCATATAGTATTATAAAATTATTATAAATAATAAGTGTTCATGAAGTATTATGGTAAAATATTAAAAAATAAAATATGTGATAACACAATATGATAAAATGGATCTGCAATGTAAGACATCTAGAAAAATAAACATATAACAATGTTGGGAAGGGAGCTAGAAAAATTAACTATTTCCATTTTAGAAGAATTTTACTTTTTTTGTTTTTGTCAGTAAATCAAGATTACTCTGAGTACATTCACAAATGTATTCTTCAAATTTATATTCTTAGCATCCCAATTTCTTAACACTTCACTATAATTTATATTACAGATCTCCATTTTAATATCAATGATTTTTGCAGTCATCACTTAGTGTACTTTTGATCCCTTAATTGAGATCCTACACAGTGACCAAAATTAGCGAATTCTTTTTACTTTCACAACTTTGCAGTCATTCCCCAATTCCTGCACCCACCCAGGAATCACCAGCTCAGAATTTGTAAGTGTTTTAAAGATTAGGAAAGTTTCCTATTAAGAACATGATTTATAAATGAAGATTTACAAAGTAACTAAAATATCTTAGATGTAAGAGATATTCACAATCTGAACATTTGAGAATTACTAATTAAATTATGTCAACATTCTTTGAAGTAGGTAAATGAACTTTACTTCCTCCCCTTTACCAAAAAGAAAAGTTTAAGAGATTGCTAAGAGAAATTTCCCTAAAAATAGCGCCTTAAACTGTAAAGAGAATTCACTCTCCTTAGTCATACAAGGTGAAACGTAGAGGCCCATTCAGCCCAGGGGCTGTCCTCTACAACAATATAAACACATTTTGTGGGAAAGTCAAATAGATGTTCTCCAATGAGATCAAACTCATAAGAACAGAAATGTACTTTAAACATCTCCAACCTCCTCTTCATGAAGAGCTCTCTTCAGAGCTTTTTGTCACCCCACTGGGTGACCCACCTAGGTTATTCTTAGCCAGGCCTAGGACACCTATAGAACTATTTTAATCATAAAACTTGAGAGTTAAAAAGACCCTTAAAAATCATGTAGCTCAATTCCTTTATTTAACTGAGAGTGAAGGGAAACAAAAGCACTTCCAAGAAAGTTACTTCATGTGGCTAATTTAAGGCAAACCTAGGCCTGGAGCTAAGAAATGTGACCAGATGTCTTAAACTTGGCCTTCATATTTCTCCTGACTTCTGTAATTTTTGTCTGATGTCACGTCAATGGGAGTACACATATCCTTTCAATGTTTTCAGATATACACTGTAGTGGACAGAGGAAACTATAGTTTCCTCATTCAGTACTTCATATAGCTGAAGGAATAATTCAACAAAGGTTATAAAACCCTGGTGTAAAGAAACCCGTGTGGGGAAGGAGGGATAATAGTTTTATGGTTCTGCTTCCACTGAACACTAGTTCTAAGATTTTTAGCACTCACTCTAAGCCAAATAAAGGATTCTAAGTGTCATCATAAGTAGACATCAAGTTACTAGTAATCGCCACTAACATACAGGCCAGTCTTTACTTGTATTACTTCATTTCATCCTTGATTTCCACAATCTATTTCCATTAATAGAAGTTTATGGAAAGATATACATAGAAAAAATTTACAACTGTGGTTGCCTCAGGGAAGAGAAGTAGAGCGTGGGGTATGGGTGGGAAAGAGAGAGCTTAATTTGCACTTCATTGTTTGAAAATTTTTATAACCTACTTGTATAGATTTTTTCCATTAATTTGAATTTTTCCTTTTTAAATACATACGTATATGCACGTAATTTCATTACCATTTTCAACGCAACAACTTTCAATTTTTTGTTTTAAACAAGTTTTTAGTATTGCAACTTCATAAAAATCTCGTAAGTTTTCAGAAAGAAAAAGAACCAGCACAGTCACAAAACGCAAAATTCCAGAATTTGAACTATAAGAATACGAGCAAAGGAGTGAAGTTTTAAATGGGGGCATTTAGTTTTAAAATACTTCGAAAAGATAAAGCTTTTCCCCATATTTAAAAGACTAGGTTTTAAAATGGGATTTGAATAGGGTTTCTTATCTCAAGGGGAGTTGGGGAGCAACCTCATGGTAGGAAAAGGAGTCATTAAAGTTTGACCTGCAGGTTCTCAGCCTGGGACGGGGCCTGTGGTGGGGTGGACAAGGTCCTCGTAATCGTCACGTTCATAGAAGAAAGGAGCATGATTGAGGAGTTTCCTCCAGGATCCGTCCACCTCCGTTGGAGGCAGCAGCTGTTCGTGCAGATGAATCATGTTGCTTGGGCTGGGGTTAGCTGAGAACCCCAAGCACTGAATCTATTCAAATAATTTCCTTTTAATGAAGCCTGGCAGAGGGACTACGGGAATCGATTTACTTTAACAAACCGCCGATCATCACCCTGGCCCGGCTACAGCACACCTCACCTTGCTGTCTACTTATGTCAGGGTCAGCTGTCAACGCAACCCTTTGTGTCTCATTCACAACGAGAGTGGTCCTCAGCCACTCCGAAAAGAAGACACGCGCGCGCGCCCGTGACGAAGTGACATCTGGCGTGGAGGCAAGAAACCCACGGACATAAGCAAACGACCGGCCACCTCTGGACGCTCCCAACTTTCGCAGGCTAAGCTCTACCCATCCTCTGCCCGGCGGTCACCTCCGCGTCTGCCGTCACACGGGCTCCGGAGACCCTCGGGGCCCCGCTGGACTCCCGGCACTGGCCGGGGCGCGTCCCCTCGCCGCCTCCGCCTGGGCGCTCATCCCACGCTCGGGCTGCCTCGCTCCCGCCACAAAGGCAGAGGGTAGAGCCCGGGGTGACAGGCCTCTGGCCTCCGAGCGCCGACAGCACGGGCTGACGCCAGTCGCCCGAGAAAACACGGGTGCGAGTTTCGGGCTGGCACACGCGCCTGCCCTCGTCCCGCACACGGACTCGCCCACATCCACGCTCCGCCTTTCTGTTCCTCCCAAAAAAGTCAGCCGCAGCGCTTCCCGGAGCAGGCAGGGTGTCCAGCCCGCCAAAGGGCAGCTCCTGCCGGGCAGGGGCGTGCGCTCCACCGGGCTCGCGCCCTCCCGCCTCCCCGCGCCCGAGTCCGTCCCCCCACCCCCAGCCACTCACCTGGTCCTGGCGGGGCGCGAGGGCAGAGGACCAGGGGGTGGCCCTCGCCTCGGCCGGGCTGGTCTCCCCACCCCCAGTCCCGCTCCCAGCGCTGCGCTGGCTCGGCCGCCTCCTCCGAGGTGCTAGCGCCGCCGGCGGCTGGCGTCTCTGTGGCAGGCGCGCGGGCCGCGCGCTCAGTTCCCCGGGGCGGAGCGAGGCGGCGGCCGCCGCGGCCGGAGGCGGATTCCTCAGGTGCTGCCCCTCCCGCTCGCCCAGAGCCTCCGCGGCGAGGGACGACCCCCGCCTCCCCCTCCCGCCCGCCTCGCCTCGCCTCGCCTCGCCTCGCGGCCTCCAGCGGCGGGCGCCCGCCCGCGGTCGGCCTTTCGGTCTCCCTCGCCTGCCCCTCCGCGAGGGTAGTGGGCGCCCAGCTCCCTACGCACCCTTCCATGACCGTTCTCCTCTCGGCACTGTGGTCACCCCTGTGTCTTCACGCCTCCATTTCCAAACCCTTGCGCGTAGAGGATGTATGAGGCCATGCGGGGAGTGGAGCGAGGTGGGGGAGCGCAGAGGGGTTTCTGAAAGGGATATCCCACCACCATCACCACCACCCCCCCTAAGGCTGCGGACGCGCGCAGCCAAGAAGAAAAAGTATTTTCTCGCCGAGGCCATTCACAGAGCGCTCTCGCCTCACTGCGCGATTGCTTTCTCTGTCACTGGACGGCGGCTAAAGAAACCCAAGCGTGAACTCAGCCTGGGCAATGGGGGGTCAAAAACCCTTGGCCTTTTGCATGAAGAGGGTAGAACGGGGGCAGGGCGCGGACAAAACCAAACAACCCCGGGAGCTCCGGCCCGAGCAGACTTCTGCACCTCCGGGATGGGCGCGCCCTCGGGCTCCCGGACCCTGGCCCCGCGTCCAGCCCGCGCCCCCGGACGCCGCTGCTCGCCTCGCCTCGCCTCACCAGGGCTGTGTGGGGCCTCTGCCGACCACAGACAGCCGCGATCAGGGACAGCCGGCCACTTCCAGGGACCCTGGGCCTCGATGGGCACCACAGGGACGCTGTAGCCCAATAGTGACAGATGTCGCTCCACTTCTCACAACTGACGGCCTTTGTTATGAGTGATGTGGCTCTATTTTCTTAAACTGTAATTGTTGCCAGATGGACGACTACACCTCCTGGAAGAGGACCCTCCATGCTGAATGAGGTGAAAGCGTCTAGGTCCAGCAAAGTTGATACATTTTTAAGTGCCTTCCAGAGCAGTATAACCCCAGGGGAGGCTGCCACGGTGCCCAGTCCCAGGTGGGCTGGTACCATCGTCAATTAAACTAGCTCACGTATGATCTCTAAGTCAGTACTTTTGTTTGCTTGTTTTTTTTTTTTTTACTTCCCCCCCCCCACCCTTTTTTTTTTTTTTTAACTTTTGGTCAATGCAGAAGGAATTGCCTGGGAATCTGGAATCACCATAAAACTACTCAAGGCATAGTTTACTTGTAACTAGCAAAAGTAAGATTTGTTTGTGGTTTGAATTGTCTTCATGCCCAGGAAAGACATACTCAATTGACATATTTTTTAAAATCATTTGTTCTTGTGGAGTTAAGGAGCTGAAATATTTCTGTTGTTTTACAATTGAATCCCTACTGTCTTTGCCTTTTATTTTTATTTTTGGTGGTGGTACTGGGGCTTGAACTCAGGGATTCACGCTTGCTAGGCTGGCACTCTACCACCTGAGCCACTCTGCCAGTCCTTTTTTTGTGTTGGGTGTTTCTAAGATAGGATCTCAGAAACTATTTGCGCAGGCTGGCTTTGAACCCCAATCCTCTTGATCTCTGCCTCCTGAGTAGATAGTTTACAGGCATGGCTCTCTGCTTGCTTTTAAAACACATAGAAACTGCAGGAAACATGGTTTTCAATCAATCGCCCCTATATTCCTACAGTTTTGGGTCTTGCACACAATACAGGCTTAGCAAATAAAACCATTTAAAAAAATAACCACAACATTGAAAAGTACAGATGATTATCAGTTTAACTCACTATATAAAACAGGGATCCAATGTCAGTTGGCAAACTAATCATGAGAATTGGCCATAAATGTGGAAAAGGTAGTAAGTAGAAACCTGAGATTCCAAGTTCATCTCATATAAACCAAGCTCACAAGAAGTTAAAGAAAAAAGAGAAGTTAAAACAGATGAGAAGCTTTGAAAAATTCAGTCCTTTCTGAGCTCTGTGAAGTTGGGGGACAGGAACACCTTCTCCATTTTAGAGATAAGGAAACTAAACAATGAGCAATCTTAAGGCCAAACCACAGTGCAGCTTTCTCCCAATTTAGTTCAAGGATCATTTATTGAGTGCCAAGTCTAGTGACTCTGTGAATGTCATGGCAAATGTGGCACAGTAGTTCAAAGGCCTTAGTCTAATATTACAGGATTCTGGCATTCATTCTTCATTCATTCAACAAATATTGATTGAGCACTGTGAGCCAGATGTCTTTATCCACCAGTCGTATTGGTGATTCATTAGTAAACAAGAAAAGTTCCCAACAAGGTTAAAAGTTAAGTGATAGTAATCTATTGACATTCTGGTAGACTGAAAACCGTGCAATGTCACCATTATTAGATAACACACTCCATTGGACTCAACTTGTGTACATGTCTTGTCTCCTCTTTTGAGGATTATGTATCTTTACTTATACCCAGCAGACTTCTGTGATTATAAAATGTGATAGGGATAAGCACTGTGGACATAGGCACCATAGTTTTGACTCCTGGCTGTAAGACTTACTGATTATGTAACCCTAACCAAGTTACTTGATTCCATTTCAGCATCCCTATTTGTAAAATAATGTCGTAATAGTACATTCTTCAGGGAGTGGATTGAAACAGTGTATTAGTGCCTGGAACATTATTAAATGTTAACTGCTATTACTGTTAATAATAAAATATACAATAATACAAAAATTTCACGCTCCTTTATATTAATGATTTCCAAAGGCTTCTACATAGATAAAGTTCAGCCAGGTGCTGGTGGCTCACACCTGTAATCCTAGCTACTCAGGAGGCAGAGATCAGGAGGACTGGGATTTGAAGCCAGCCCAGGCAAATAGTTTGAGAGACCCTATCTCAAAAAACCCTTTCCACACACACACACACACACAATAGGACTAGTGGAGTGGCTCAAGGTAAAGGCCCTGAGTTTGAGCCCCAGTACTGCAAAATAAATAAATAAATAAATAAATAAATAAAACCCCAAGTTCAGTGAAAAATGTTAAAACTCATAGCAGAGTCCATATAGATTACAGAATTCTTACAAATGGTTATTATAAAAATCCTTTGCTTGGCAGTAGGTGATATTCTATGATTACATCCCAGTTCTTCTCTTAAGGATAAACACTACTTTTCATTAATTTATTTGATCTTTGTTCCACACTTTGGACTATTCTTACTTATTCATTATCCTCTGTGGTCAGATCAGACGTGGGCATTGGAAAGTAGGCCCTCTTGGGCTCTTTTCACAGAGCATTTCCTGCTTGTACAGTTAAGGGGTTTTCTTTAAAAGCCAGATTTTGTGGCTAACTTGTACATATGATTCCCTAAGATGCATAGTAGATTTCATTTTTTATTCCACTGAGTTTCATGTGCCATTAGTCACATCCAAAGTTCTTTCCTGCAATGTTTAGTGACTATTACAGAAAGCTCTTCTCCCTTAAAAAGTACGTGCACCAGAGACAAGGTGGTGTGTTTTTGTTTTTGTTTTTGTTTTTTTAACATTTCACATGCCTGTGTGTGTTTCTGAACAATTGTAACTCAGTGTAGCCACAGAAGGTGCAAGAAACAGAACCATTTGCTAAAGATGGGACATCACCTGGAACTTAAAAATAAATGCATACTATCGTTTTTAAAAAAAAAAAAAAAAAAAAAAAAAACAAAGTTCTTTCCTGGGCAAAGTTTCAAGTAACATACCTTATTACTTTGTTTCTTTACCCTTTTCCTCTTCCTCAACTTTAAGTACCTACCCACCATCGTAACCATTTTCTTGATCTGAAAAGGTGGCTACTGCTTTTCCACTCACATC